GTTTTGAGTATGCAGTAAAAAAAAAAAAAGAAAGAAAATTCATAATCATACCAGAGGGAGATTCAGAGAGCAGAAGCCATGAAAATAACAGGAATGAAAAGAGACCAAAGAATATCTACACATATTTACCTTATAGTTTGAAAATAATGAGAAATAATTTCAATAAAGAACTAATTACCAGTAAAAAATAATTGATATAAAGAGTCCAAGGAATACTCAGCAAACAATAAGAAGCAGAAGAATAAAGGTTCATGAAAGAAGACAATGTGAAACATAGAAGGGAACAGCTACCCACTCCAGTATTCCAGCCTGGAGAATTCCATGGACAGCATTCCACGGGGTCAAGAGTCAAAAAGGACTGAGCGACTTTCACTTCACTTCACTTCACTTCACTTCACTTCACAGTGGTTATCAGGAATTTATAGACCAGTGGGAATGAGATTCTTTAGAAAGAGAAATTTCAGAGGAAAAATATATTAAAATGTTTAGGAAAAGATTCAGCAGGATCAAGAGGATAAGCTCTCAATCATAATCTACATTATTATTCTTGCAAAATAGAAACAGGAAAATAACAATTTGCAGTAAGGTTAATCTGTCAGTCTAACCTGAATGAACTCTATCTCCAGTCACTGATTCTTACTTTTCTTTTATGTATTTCCTGAAACCACACAATAACTAGTTAAAAGTAATATTAAGCAGACAAGCAAAGAAAGAAACTTTTTCTGAATCCTATTCATGAGCACCTATTTTTTTTCTGCACAAGTATCACATGATACAGTCATGTAACAAACTGCTTTTGAGATCATGATATTCTAAGACTTCTTCCCTGTTAAATAATTTGCATAGTCCCTATTTGCAAAAACACAATTTATTATAATATTTCCAGTGTGACTCCTACAATATGAATGTTTTAAAGAGTGAGGACATATAAGTCTTTTGAATTATACTTTCTAATGATATTAAAAGAATAGTTGTAATATATTCTAAAGAGCTTCCCTTGTAGTTTAGTTGATAAAGAATCTGCCTGCAATGCAGAAGACCCAGGTTCAATTCCTGGGTCTGGAAGATCCCCCGAAGAAGGAAATGGCAACCCACTCCAGCATTCTTGCCTGGAGAATCCTATGGACAGAGGAACCTGGCAGGCTACAGTCCATGGAGTCACAATCTTCAGACACAACTTAGTGACTAAACCATCACCAATATATTCTGTATGTTTATGGCTCAGCTGGTAAAGTATCCGCCTGCAGTGCAGGAGACCTGGGTTCAATCCCTGGGTTGGGAAGATCCCCTGAAGAAGGGAAAGGCTATCCACTATTCTGGCCTGGAAAATTCCCATGGACTCTAGTCCATGGGCTTGCAAAGAGTCCAACTTTCTCTTAAGAAGTAAGTTCTGCCTAAACTTCACAAGCTGTGCTACTTGTTCAAGACAATTAAAAGCAACAACAGTAACACTATTAAACTACTGGGGAGTCAGAATTCAGAGGTCAGTGCTAATGGGAGGTGATATATCATAGACTATTAGAAGTAGTAGAGAAGATTGAGAATATAACTTTAATCTGCCTGAAATAGGGAAGAGAAGACTGGAAGTGAGGATGCCTGTTCAATAATGCTAGGTACTTATTAGGAGTGTGAGAGTATCTTTTATGGTAAGTAACTAATAGATGACAGATATTGAAAAATATTTAAATGAAGCATTTCAGAGTACTCTAATGAAAAATTAATGGCTTAACTGGAAGGCAAAGTATTTTTAATCAAACTCATCTTGATTAACACATAACAGAATCATAACTTGAGAATATTGAGAGATTCTTGAGATTTTCCTGTGTCAGACTGTCTCAATATGGTACATGCAGACACACACACATACACACACAAATATATGTATATATATATGATATATATTTTTTCACTTACTGTGCTCTTAAAATTTCCAGAAGTTATATCATGCTCTGTGATCATGATATCTATTTTCTCAAAATAGAAAATGTAGATATACAAATAATTAAGAGAAAATGTAATTATTTCACTCTTTCAAAAAAACTATTATGAATCAAATATCTGTTAATGTTCACCTCATTACCAAGCTGAACAGAAATATGTAAAATAATCCAATCAATTACATATTATATGTATATTTCTCCCTGACTACCTTTTATTCTATTCTTTTAGATACTATTCGTAAGTAAAAACAAAGTAAAAAATATATTACGGCTTAATGCTCACTTATTTCTGGCAAAACATCATGAAACAAACTATGAAACAAACTGTGTACCTGTGAAAAATTTTTAATTAATTAATTTGTTTCAATTGGCTAATTACTTTATAATATTGTAGTGGTTTTTGCCATACATTGACATGAATCAGCCTCTGTGAAAATGTTTTAATTATATTTCATATTTTAAAATATTGGTCAAACAGAGAAATTGTTTTGATGAATAAAATCCAGATTATTACCAACAAAGGTATAATAGGAATAATAGATGTAGGAATTTCAAAATTATTTAAGGAAGGCAAAATTCAGCTTATTCTACTATTTAGTTTCATTGTTAGGAGATATAGGTAAATATCTTTATGCCCATGTGTATGATACTCTTAAAGGAATAAATACATTTTGTTAGCATTGCTCTCCTTCATTTAACAGATAATTACAATCACTCTCCAATTATTGAAGGGGGTGCTTATTGGGTATATAAACATCCAATAATTACTGTATTTCATTTTTAAATTTAATTTTTAAAATAACCAGCAAGATAATGCACTTTTCTTTCATAATTGAACTACTTATAAAACTTAACAATTCTCAAATAGAAGCTAAACAACCAGTTCCTATGGAAAGTCACATAATAATCATTTTTTAAAATATTTCCTAATTTTAGCAATAACACTAATGTTTAATCTCTGCTACACTTTTCTCTCAGCTCATTAAATAGATTATATATTAATAAATTGGTAGTATTACAAAATATAAATTAATATTGATCTTTAACCTCATATATGCAGATGACACCACACTTATGTCAGAAAGCAAAGAACTAAAGAGCCTCTTGAAAGTGAAAGATAAGAGTGAAAAAGTTGGCTTAAAACTCAGCATTCAGAAAACTAAGATCATGGCATCGGTCCCACAACTTCATGGCAAAAAATGGGAAAACAGTGGAAACAGCAGCTGACTTTATTTTTCTGGGCTCCAAAATCACTGCAGATGGTGACTGAAGCCATGAAATTGAAAGACGCTTGCTCCTTGGAAGAAAAGCTATGACCAACCTAGACAGCATATTAAAAAGCAGAGACATTACTTTGCCAACAAAGGTCCGTCTAGTCAAAGCTATGGTTTTTCCAGTGGTAATGTATGGATGCGAGAGTTGGACTATAAAGAAAGCTGAGTGGCTAAGAATTGATGCTTTTGAACTGTGGTGTTGGTGAAGACTCTTGAGAGTCTCTTGAGCTGCAAGGAGATCCAACCAGTCCATCCTAAAGGAAATCAGTCCTGAATATTCATTGGAAGGACTGATGCTGAAGCTGAAACTACAATACTTTGGCCACCTATGTGAAGAGCTGACTCACTAGAAAAGATCCTGAAGCTTTGAAAGATTAAAGGCAGGAGGAGAAGGGGACGTCAGAGGATGGGATGGCTGGATGGCATCACTGACTCAACGGACATGAGTTTGAGTAAACTCCAGGAGTTGGTGATGGGCAGGGAAGCCTGGCATGCTGCAGTCTATGGGGTCTCAAAAAGTTAGACATGACTGAACGACTGAACTGAACTGAACCTATATACGAAAGTAACATAATAATGTTTACATTGCTTGCTACATTAAATATAACTTACATAAAACTAGCTTATATTCCTGATAACTAAAACTCAAAGAGAAAAGAAACACTTTGAAAACTAGGATAACTACTTTCACATAATCAGAGGAAAGGAAGAGAGATGAGAAAAACAGTTTCTATTGAAGAACATGAAGAAAATTTGCTTCATTGGAACAAGGCTTTTGTAAAAATACATGTGAAAAGAGAGAAGGATGATTATCAAATGTAATAAAAGGGAGGAAACTACAATTACATACATTATTATTATTATTATTATTATAGACATCTTCATTTATTTCCTTAATACATTGTGCAATAACATATTCACTTGTTTGAAAAAGAAACAACTGTGTGTATCATATTCATGGAGGCTTTTTTCACTGTTGGTTCTGTAAGCTATAGATGAAAGGATTCAGAAGTGGGGCAATGGAGGTATTGAGTATTCCCCTGTAAAAAGATTCTCTTTGACTGATGGTTTAACATACATGAAGAAGCAGCTGCCATAAGAAAATATCACAATCATGTGAGAAGGACATGTTGAAAACGCTTTTTTCCTCTCATTAGCTGAAGGGATTTTCAGAATTGCTAACGCAATATAGGTATACGGTGTGATCACCACTGACAATGGATGACACAAGAGTCATCAAGGCAGAAATGAATCCCATTGTCCCAGTGAGCTGTGTGTCTGAGCAGGAGATCTGCAGGAAGGTAGCTGGGTCACACATGAAATGATCAACAATGTTGGAAGTGCAAAAGTCAAGGTTTATGCTTAAGAGGAGAGGTACAAAGATAATCAAAAAGCCAGCAATCCAACAACAGAAGACGAGAAGTGTGCAGATTTTACTGTTCATGATGGCTCTATAATGCAGAGGCTTACAGATGGCAACATAGCAGTCATGGGACACAGCTGCCAGGAAGTAAAGTTCAAATGCTCCAAGTAATAAGCTAAAAAACAATTGTGCAATACAACCATTATAGAAAATAATTTTGTCCTCCATTTCCACAATAACTAGAAATTTAGGGATGCATGTAGTAGTAAAGAATATTTCTAAAAAGGAAAAATTCTGAAGAAAAACATATATGGGGGTCTTCCCTCCCCCCCTTTTTTTTTCAGAAAAACATATATAGGGGTCTTGAGGTGAGGATCCATCATGGTGAGAGTGATTATGGTGAGGTTATCAGAGATGCTTAACAAGTAGGTGAGAAGTAGGAAAATAAATAACACAATTTTCATTTGTGGGTCATCAGTCAAACCTGCTAGGATAAACACTGTCAATCTTGTGTGATTTCCCATTAATGTCCTCTACTTTTCGAGGTCTACACAGAAAAAAAAAAAAATGGAAAGAAAGAAAACAATCTTCCCAATGAGAAAGTGACAAGGGAGATAACTAGTGTCTAAGGTAAAGTTAGCAAATTGAAATTTCAGATGGGTAACACACTGCTCCTTCATGTTATAAAGATGGTTAATGCCAGGAAGAACAATCCTTTGCATTTCCAGGGTATTTGGACAGTTGATTCAAAGTTTCCCTTCTAATTTCACCACTGAATAATATATGTGATCATATCAATTGTTGGTTGATTTTAAGTGAATAAATTCAAGGAAAATTAAGGGGACTATTAAAGCATAGAAACATGCTTTTCCACCCTTAAATTTGGACAAGAATTATGATAGATGTCATTTTCTGTTTTGCATAAGATCACCTAAATACAAGTCATTACTTCATGTTTTGTATTTAACACACATAAACACACACACACACACACACACACACACACACACACCTAGCTATCATCAGTAAATAGGACTAGTACACTTTTGCCATTTTACTCAATCAAACTCAAATGTCTGATTCATGTTTCATCTACTTTCACGGCAAATGAGATCCAAGAGACATCAGGAATATACTTATTTGGTGCCCTTACTGGTACTTCCATTCCCTTGATATCTATCACCATCCTCATCCTTTCCAATTTGTGTTCTGAAAAAAATATAAGCAAGAATATTTTGATGACCTGAATATATAACAAAAAGCAGCAGTTTTCCTCTACATGGTTTGACTCTGAGAGTAGGTTAGCTAAAGTAAAAAAAAAAAAAAACCAACAGGATTTAGGAGTGGATAGAAATGTATAACTATGTACTCAGGAAATTATATGAGGTGTCAGAATTAAAAACAAGAGAAAGATAAAGACAAAACTTATGGAAACCTAGAAAGGTAAGTTGGGTTTCTAGTGATAAGACAGTGAATTTGAGGAAAGCCTTTAAAATGTGTAAATAATAAGTAAAATTTAATAAAATTAAAACTGTACAAATTTTTTAAAATGTGCAACTTAGTATATAAAATTAATAAATAAAATTTACAAGAAGAAAGTAGTTACCAATGAAATTTCTCTCCATCTACTTCTATTGTTTACAGTTGCCATTTTATTCTTTGTCTACGACACAGACTAAAAATAATGACTAGTTTTGAGATCAACACACCTAAGAGATGAGGAGTAAACATTTGGTAAATTTCAAACACATAATAAATCTCAGAATTGTTGTCAAAAGTTTATGAGGCATACATTTCCATATCATAAAGATATTAAAATGCATGGCTAACATGTAAGTTATGAAATATTACCTAGATATAGCTATTTTCAATGACAGGCATATTTCAAGTGAGAATAAATTGTTTCAGGGTTGTATAGCTAACAACTGGGGAATGGGATGAAGAGCTGAAAGAGTGTATTTTCTAAAATTGTTTTCTTAGAAGTGTCAAAGTTTGTATAAATAGTTTTAGACCAAATATAGCATATTTCTTAAACAAAAGATTAATGATATCTCTAGGGAAATGTTACTTCCTTGGTATCTTCCTCATCAAACACATAAAATGATTAAGCTTTTGTGATGGGAGATAGAGAAGACAATACAATGTTTTCTCTATTTAGAATATCCAGGTTTATTTCTAATCTCTGAAACATATTTGATGATTGAAAATACAACTATACAATTAAAAATAATCATATATGGACAAATGAAAGTTGTTTTCAGTAATATCCAGAAGAGTTTATAGGAGAATTCTAAGATAAGGAAATAAGATCTCCTGTCAAAATCATACAGTTAATAATGTAGATAAATGTGGGTAAAAGAAGAGACTATTATTTTTCCTGGACATTCACTTTATATGCAAATAACTATGGAGCAATCAATGATAAATTTCTATTTATGCAAATGACTCAATGACAAAAATTGTAGGAATGCATATACCAAACACCTGAATCAAACTTTTACCATGTCAAATTATCTTTCTTCAACTTCAGCAATTTAACACAGAAACTCTCCCCAACACACACTGCAAAAAAAAAAAAAAAATTAATAAAGTTCAATTACAAAACCATTAAAAGTCAGCCTATGAATGCAATAATGTTTAATTGTATCAGCTATTATGAAAGTGAAATATATTTGAAAGTGGAAAGTTTCTCAATAATAAATCACCCATGTATCCCATATGCCTTTCCTAAAATAAGATTTAAAATATTGGAAAAGTGAGGTTAAAGTTTAATGATAACAGAACAGAAGGGAATTAAAACATATCTAAAAGGAAATCAAGTTTTTAAATTTAAATTTTTTTACATACCAATTATTTTCATGTTTTTCAGTGCTAAATAAGTTTTTCAAAAATACTTAAAATTTCGAACATATTTTTAAGAAGATATATACACAGATTTATTCAGACAATATCATCTCTACTCAGTAGTCAATACTTTTGTCATCATGCTGAACAAACAGAGCATACTGATATTCCATTCTTCGCTGAATGGGTCTCACTCAACTCCTCAACATATGATTCTTCTCTCAGATCATTTTATGGCAACTTTGTGCATGCTTTGATTAGCACTTTGTTTTTCTTCATGTTTTTTGATTACTCCATTAAATTTTCCCATTACTAAATGAGCAATCTAGAAGAAATGGACAAATTCTTAGAAAGGTACATAAATAAATACATATTTATGTATTGAATACTTTTCTAAGTATCATCCAAAATTCCATGAAATAAATCAACACTTGACCCATGGAGTATTTATGCTTTCTGTGCTCTGTAGGAAGATATCTAAAATTTGTGAATTATTCTCAGGAGGATAGGAAATCTACGAATACCAATTGCGAAGATCAAACATTTATTATTTAAATGTTCTCCCCAGGCACTAAATATTTTTAACAGTAAAATTATATATATATATATATATATATATATATATATATATATATATATATATATATATATATAATCTTTAACTATGTCCCCAGATATCTCAGTATAGGTATCTCCAATAATAATTTTTCTTCCACACACTCATGTTTTGAAATCCCAAACACATAGGTAGGATCTGGAAGCAGGAAAAGAAAAGATTGCTTATACTGATAACAAGAAGTAACAATATAAGATGATTAGCCTGTCCAGGAAACATTAAACCACAGTTTAAATGCAGTATCATTAATTCTCCAGACACACCTAACATTTCATGTCCTATATGATCTCAGTTTCTTTTTCAAAAACTGTCTTTTCTCCAAATAGCCTTTGTGATATCTTTTATTTAATCATCAAGCCAATTATGCAACCTGTTGTGGCCAAGTGCCTAAATTCTGTCCAAAGGATGTAAATGGAGATATCTATGCAACTTCCAGGGATCATACTCTGAAAAATAGAACTTTCTCTCCTCTTCCTCTTGATCCCCCTTACTACTGAAATGCAGATGTAAAGGCAAGCCATTTGGAGCCATGGCTATGATCAATTACAGTAGAAATCATGAATAAACAAGATAGAACACACATAGGTTCCTGACAGGACTGTAGACCATACCAACAAAAACAGAATCACATTATGGAGGAGTTTTAGCATACCAGCTGAGAGGGTAACAGGCAGGAAGGCTAGGGGCCCCCAAAAGGAGAAAATAAGCTGTAAGTGTCAGACATTTTTCATATCTTTCTTAAACAGCAACAAACTACAAGTGCCAGATTTTTTTCCCCTTCTCTATACAAAATTAAAAAGAGGTTTTTTAAAAAAAATTCTGTGTTGCCATGATGACACCTGGTTCCACCTGAACTTAACTTTTCTCAAACCATGAGCTAACCAATGGGTTTTCCTTATGGAAATGTTTTTCTTAAGCTATGTTAATGAACTAGGTATTTACCCTAGACACCAGACCACCTGACTCACCTCTTGAGAAATCTGTGTGCAGGTCAGGAAGCAACAGTTAGAACTGGACATGGAACAACAGACTGGTTCCAAATAGGAAAAGGAATATGTCAAGGCTGTATATTGTCACCCTGTTTACTTAACTTATATGCAGAGTATTGATGAGAAATGCTGGGCTGGAGGGAGCACAAGCTGGAATCAAGATTGTTGGGAAAAATATCAATAACCTCAGATATGCAGATGACACCACCCTTATGGCAGAAAGTGAAAAGGAACTAAAGAGCCTCTTGATGAAAGTGAAAGAGGAGAGTGAAAAAGTTGGCTTAAAGCTCAACATTCAGAAAACTAAGATCATGGCATCGGTCCCATCACTTCATGACAAATAGATGGAGAAACAGTGGAAAAAGTGGCAGACTTTAATTTTTGGGGGGCTCCAAAATCACTGCAGGTGGTGATTGCAGCCATGAAATTAAAAGATGCTTGCTCCTTGGAAGAAAAGTTATGACCAACTTAGCATATTAAAAAGCAGAGACATTACTTTGCCAGCAAAGGTCCATCTAGTCAAGGCTATGGTTTTTCCAGTAGTCATATATGGATGTGAGAGTTGGACTGTAAAGAAAGCTGAGTGCTGAAGAAATGATGCTTTTGAACTGTGGTGTTGGTGAAGACTCTTGAGAGTCCCTTGGTCTGCAAGGAGATCCAACCAGTCCATCCTAAAGGAAATCAGTCTTGGGTGTTCATTGGAAGGACTGATGCTGAAGCTGAAACTCCAATACTTTGGCCACCTGATGTGAAGAGCTGACTCACTGGAAAAGACCCTGATGCTGGGAAAGATTGAAGGTGAGAGGAGAAGGGGACGGCAGAGGATGAAATGGTTGGATGGCATCACCGACTCAATGGACATGACTTTGAGTAATCTCTGTGAGTTGGTGATGGACAGGGAGGCCTGGCATGCGCAGTCCATGGAGCTGTAAAGAGTCAGACACAACTGAGCGACTGAACTGAACTGTCTTTCTTCAAGTCTGTTCCGACTAAGACTAGAACCGATAATGGCTCAACAAACCAGTATGCTTTACTCATACAATTACTCTCCCAATCTATGTTAATAAGACTATGT